ACCTGCAGAAGGCAACTCTGCACACGCATGTTGTGGTCTGTTTGAACTTGGGATTCAGGCTTAATTGGTACCTGCCATCTAGTATGTGTGAGGATTAGATAAGTCAGGACGTGGAAGGGGTTTAGAATACTGCCTGGCATGTGGTGAGGGCTCTGTATGTGTTTGCTCGCATTTTGTCATCATCATCATCATTGTTGTCATTGTTGCCATCATTGTCACCATTATCATCATCTTTGCAGATAGTTCTTTGTACACAATTCCTTCTTTTCCATCCATCCATTCACCCATCCACCGACCCACCCATCCACCCATCCACCCATTCACCCACCCATCCACCCATTCACCCATCCATCCACCCATTCACCTACCCATCCACTCATCCAACCATCTATCCACTCACTCATCCATCCATCCATCCACCCACCCACCCACCCACCCACCCACCCACCCATCCATCCATTCACCCTCCACCCACCCATCCACCCCTCCTTTTCTAATGGGAATATGCCATGTGCCCTTAGGGAACCGGCATTTTACACTCTACATTACATTGCATATGAACAAAATGGCTCTGGTCCTGGTTAATGGCCTCACATCCCTGAAGCACGGTTATGCTGGGTTCTGCATCCGTGGGCAAACCTAGACTTTGTCTTGGTGCTTTGGGTGTAATAAACTTTGTAGACCAAGAATATTTGTACTGAGATCTGCTGGCGGTAAGAAAGATCATTCCAGGAAGAGCTTCAAAATCGAAAGTAAACAAAAATATGTTGATGCTGTTTTTATGCTTCTCATCTCCCTCATCAGGCTGGGGGCTCCTGGAGGCAGAGCCTGTGTCCCCCTCTGGCCCCATCAGACTGGTTCCCAGACAGTGGACATCTTCCTTCCTCCATCTCTCTCTCTTTGTCATCCTCCCACCCCAGACCTGTGAGGAGGGAGTTCTGGTTGTGCGTCCTTTATTCCGTCTGTGCAATGACTACCTGGAATGAGCGGACCCTGTGGCTGAGGAGGGGTGTCCGGTGGTTCCTGAGGGAACTTCCCTCCTCATCACCCCCAAACGCCCACGTGGAGGGAGCATGCCCCTGTCATTCATCATCTCCACTCAGAGGTCTACTAGACATTTCATGTCTAACAAGCCCAACATGGAACAGCCAACCCCCTGCCCAGCCTGCCCACCCCCAGCCTTCCCCGTCTCTCTGATGACAACTCACTCCTTCTAGCTGCTGGGGCCCCAAACACTCCAGCCATCCTTGACTCCTCTCTTTCTCTCACGCCCACATCCAATCCATCGGCAAACCTTCTCAGTTCCAGCTTCAAGAATCCAACCACTTCTCACCACCTTCACTGTTGCCCCCAGGACCAAGCCACCATCATCTTTTGCTTGGACGAATTTCACTGCCCCGTCTAACGTCAACCACACTTAAGAAGAGTTGCATTTTAACGCATGGCCAAAGCAGATTCTATTCCCTGTGTCTGTGTCTCTAGAATACAAATGCGTCAGAGCAGGGATTGTGGTCTGTGTTGTCCATCCCCAGCGCCTGTGTCCCCATCGCCCTAAGGAGTGCCTAACACAGAGCTGGCGTTCAATGAATGACTGTCAAATGAATGAATGAAATTCCATAAACACCCAAGCACAGGCGGGAGCCAGCACTTGCCAATGCTAAAAGGAGGGGATTTTCAGAAACGAATCACCCCTCCCCAGGCCATTGCTCTGAGCGCCTTCTCTGAGCGCCGCCTCTGGAGTCGAGGTAGGAGGGCCGACCCTCACATTGTGGGGGGTGGAAGTGCTGGAGTTGGATGGACCGGGGTGCAAACTCTGGCTCTTCCGCTTACTATCTGTGTGACCTGCAGCTGTGATTCTCCTCCTGTGAGATGGAGATACTACTGATAATTACTGGCATTTCTTTAAAAAATAAATTTTATTGATTTCAGAGAGAAAGGGAGAGGGAGAGAGAGAGAGCTAGAAACATTAATAATGAGAATCATTGATCGGCTGCCTCCTGCACGCTCCCTCCTGGGGATTGAGCCCGAAACCTGGGCATGTGCCCTTGACTGGAATCGAACCTGGGACCCTTCCGTCTGCAGGCCGATGCTCTGTCCACTGAGCCAAATCAGGTCGGGCTGGCATTTCTTTTACTGAATGCTAGGTGCCCGGCACTGCACTGAACCTCTCACACATAGCTCATGCGATCCCCCTACCACAACTTTCATCTTCCATGGAGAGCCGGAGCCACAGAGAAGTGAACTACCCAAGGTCAAGGCTGTAAGAGGCAGAGCGGATTGGAGCCCAGGCATTCCAACCTCACAGGGCTTTATATGCTGCCTGACCTCCTGTCATATGAGATAAGATCTGTAAACTGCCTAGCCGGCGCCTGGTGCATAGTCAGCCCTCCGAGGACGCTGACATCTTTACGTGTGGGGTCAGGCACCAAGAGTCTGAGGAGAGAGGCAGAGCCAGGGGACGGGGACAGGGGCTGATGGGAGCTCGGTAGTCCTGTGTTGGCAGCTGAGCTCCCTACCAGGGGCACGAGCTGAAACTCCCTTCTCCATCCTCCAGAGAAGCCTTGGGGCCTCCTCCCCAGGCCTCCGGATTGACAGGCCTGAGTGAGGACTGGGCGTGGGGCCAGGAGGTGGGGACTTAGCTCAGGCAGGCTAATCAGCTCTCAGGGTGAAATTAAAAGGGAGGAGGGAAGCACGACCCATCAGAACTCACACTTCTTCCCGGCTCCCAGGTGCCCGGGAGCGGACCTGGGCCACCGGGCGCGAGGAGGTCGGGAGCCAGGGCGCAGGATGGCCTCCCAGAGGGCTGTGCGGCTGAGCCTGAAGAAGCCCACCCACGCGGTGTGTGTGGTGGGAGTCGAGACCTTTGTGGATGTTCGCAGGTGAGAACCTGAGAGGCGCTCGCCGGGCCGCAGAGTGAAGGAGTAGAGGCAATGGGTGGGTGTGGGATGGGCGCCTGGTACCTGTTTTGACAGCCGAGCAGGTGGGGTTGGCTGTAGAGCTTGGGAGGGAGGTTCAGGGTATCAGGTCCACCTTGGGGCCCTGGCTCGTGGGCGCCAGGGTCAGGACCCTGGCCTCGAGCCCCTGGACAAGGGTTCCAGCTCTGAGCCCTGGGGTCAGGCTTTGGGGTGTGGGCTCTGCGTCCTGGGGTCTGTGTGGAGCTTGCGCGGAGCATCAGAACGAATTGCTCAAACCAGGGAACAGGGCTGGGCGTCCCTCAGTTTCTTGCCAACAATTCGCCTCTCTGAGGTGGAGGGGTGAGGTGTGTGGCAACTTGATCCTTGGAGGCTAACCAGGGTGATAGGCATCAGGAGGGACTAATTAGGTGCTGATTTAATGAGTTAAAAAAAAAGAAAAGAACTTGCAACAAGACCGGGGCTTGTGTTGGCCACGATGGGGGTGGGGGTGGGGGTAATGGTGGCAGCGATGACATCTGAGGGGCAGCAGCAGCAGCAGCAGCAGCTTCTGTCGGCCCAAATCCTCCCTGTCCTGGCTCTGCCCAGTGGGGGCAGGCCCAGGGACCTGGCGCAGCCTCAGGTTCCCCACCCGGCCGGCCACTGATGGAGTTAGACTTGAGGATCCCTGGGGGCCTTCCCAGCTCTGACAGATGAGCTATGGATTCCATCTTGCTGTACGGATAGGGCTGGGGCCCCAGCAGATGGGGGCTCAAGCGGGAACCCTCTCCTAGAGGGGGCTGGGGCTGTTCCACGGTGGGGGTCTGAGCTCCTACGGCCCTCTTGGGCCTCAGTACCTGAGCTCTCCCAGTCTGTGAATGAATGCCGGGCCGGCTTCCCACCCGGCCTCAGGTGAGCCTCTGACCCAGAAGCCCTCCGGGCCGACCCTCTCTCCGCAGCGGCCTGAGGCCCCATTGAAGGGCCAGGGAAGGAGAGCCAGGAACCCTGGAGGTCAGACCGTGCCTCTACGTCATATGGGGGGCCCTGCGGTGGGGTTGGTTCTCTCAGAACTAAGTGGCCAGCAGAGACCCCATTATCTCTTGCTCCTTTACACAATTTTTTCCTCTTTCTGCTTTTGAGAGTATGTTTTTTAAAGCTGGAGACAGTGAGACAAGGAAGGGCCTAGGGTAGAAGAAGCCACAGGAGAGAGACGAGGCAGAGCTGCTTTGGCTCTAGGAATGTTTGCGAAAGAAGGGAGCGAAGGCGGGGCTGCTGTCAGCTCCCTGGAGAGTCAGAGAAAAAGGGCCTTGGGGACAGGCTCGGGGGACCCGCCGTCGCTGCCCGTTGCTCCCCTGGGTGCAAGTCTCCTGGGGTCCCTTAGAGTTCAGGAGGTGCACTCCTGCCGGGGAGCCAGAGGGGGGAGGCAAAAGCACAGGCAAGCTCCTGGGAAGGCCAGTGGGTCCATTTTTTCAGTCACAGTTGACATGCAATATTATGTTAGTTTCAGGTGTACAGTGTAGTGGTTAGACCAGCCGTGGGCAAACTACAGCCCGCGGGCAGGATCCGGCCCGTTTGAAATGAATAAAACTAAAAAAAAAAAGACCGTACCCTTTTATGTAATGATGTTTACTTTGAATTTATATTAGTTCACACAAACACTCCATCCATGCTTTTGTTCCGGCCCTCCGGTCCAGTTTAAGAACCCATTGTGGCCCTCGAGTCAAAAAGTTTGCCCACCCCTGGGTTAGACACTTATAGAACTCAGGAAGTGACCAGCCGGATCAGTCTAGTGCCCATCTGCACCATCCATAGTTATTCCGTACGATATCATGACTGTATTCCCTATGCCGTACTTTATTCCCTCGTCTCCTGCCCTTTTAACTCGGGGTTGCCAGACTGAGCGAATGAACACAGAGGACTCCTGGTGAGGGTTGCATTTCAGATAAACAGCGACTTTTTTTTTTTTAAAGTACAGTAGTTCCCCCTTATCTGCGGTTTCGCTTTCCACGGTTTCAGTTAGCTGTGGTCTACCATGGTCCGAAAATATTAAATGGAAAATTCTAGAAGTGAAGAATTCGGATGTTTTGAGTTGGGCACCATTCTGAGAAGTGTGATGAAATACCACGCTGCCCCGTTCCATTCGGCCTGGGATGTGAATCATCCCTTTGTCCAGCACAACCTCCTTGCGTCTCATCACGTAGGCCTTGTGTCCTCTCACATCATCACAAGAAACGGAAGGGTGAGCACAGTGCAGGAAGGTATTTTGAGAGAGGAGAGGCCACAACAGTCAGATCACTTTTATTACAGGATCTTGTTGTAATTGTCCTATTTTATTATTCGTGATTGCTGTTCATCTCTTATGGTGCTTAGTTTATAAATTAAACTTGATCGTAGTTATGTATGTGTAGGACAAAACATGGTATGTAGAAATACCACCCACACGGTTTTGGGGGTCCACTGTGGGTCTTGGAACGTATCCCTTGAGGATAAAGGGCGTCTAATATATTGCATGGGATGTACTTGTATTTTTAAAAATCTGCTGTTCAGCTGAAATTCTAATTGAGCGAGGCACCCCGTACTTTCTCCGGCAACGCTGTTTTAACACCAAGGGGAGGGAAGAGGTCCCTAGTGGGCCCCATCTTCCCGACTCCAGACCCCTGTTCTCATCCCATGGGTGGCTATTTCCGGAAGTAATTTCAAAACCTCAGGCCCTTGGTGAGCATTTGACTGGGAGCCAGGTCACCTCCGACGGAGTTAGAAGCAGGGACCTCTGGGAGCCTTCCCCTTGGCCACTGACCTGCTGTCTGGCCTGGGCCACGTCACTGGCCCTCCCTTAGCCCCAACAAGATGAGTTGCGTCCCCTCTTCAGTTCAGCGTGGAGGTGAAGTGCCCAGACTCTTGAGCTGGACAGACTTGGCTTCTCGTCCTCGCTCCCCCCATTCATGGCAGAGTGCCCCCGGGCAAGCTGCTGCACGTCTCTGAGCCTCAGTGTCCCCATCTGACAAATGGAGAAACAATGGCACGCACCGTCATGGGTTAGGAGGAGGGTATATGAGACGTGCATTGCAGGGCCCTGTGCATGGAGAGTGCTCACAGCAGTGACAGCTCTGTGGAGTCCCCCAGTTCCTGCGCTTTCCATCATGCCTCAGAGCGTGGGGGGCAGGGGACAGGTCAGGGTGCGTGTGGTGGGAACGGAGGATGGTGCTGACTGTGTCTCCTTTGGGACCATGAAGCACCTTAGCAGCTCCAGTGCGGGCGCTGCCCCGCTGAGGGCACGAGGATGTTGCCTGGGGTGCTCGTAGCTGCGGGGCTCTGCTTGTCTCTGGGAGCGGGTGCTGCTTCGGGTCCTGAGGGAGCACTCTGAGAGGCCTCCACTCAAGAGCCCGCCAGGAACCTTCTCCCCGGTGTTGGCGGTGACAAGGTCATAGCCACTGCGTCTCTGCACTAGAAACAGGAGCTTCTTCGGCAGCAGATTGGTTTGGAAGTGACCTGGAGAACTCCCTGCAGGCGAGGCCTGCCGTGGGTGCAGAGAGGGACGCGCATTGTCACGGGAGGTGAACAAAGGGGGATGGTGTTGTCAACCTGGGAGAGTTTGAAGAGGAGCCTGAGGCTCACTGCAAGGCCTTGGCCGGCCAGGAGGAAGGGGCTGCACCTGCTCATGAACTTGGGGCTCCCCCACCCCCTTGCTGGGTGCCTGGCCAACTGAGCCATGCAAGGGATTTCTATCCAGCCTTGCTGCTGGAAGGGGGAGCCTCCCAGAAGAGGAGGGGTGCCGTCACCTCAGCTGCCCGGAGTCTGAACCCTCCAGGAGAGCCCGTGGAGATGGGCGTGTGGGGGTGACATCACGGGAAGTGATTCATTCCCCCAGGTGTGGAGTGGACTGGGGTTTGGAGAGATATTTGTGTTTGGGTAATCGTGTGCCCCAGGGTGTCTCAGCCCAAGAAAACCTTAGAGCTCCCCTGTAGCATGTGCTGCAGATCCTGCCCCTCCCTGCAGCAGGCTAGCTCACCACCTGACCTCTCACCCCAGTGGGCTAGCTCATCACCCTGACCCCTCACCCCAGTGGGCTAGCTCACCACCCTGACCCCTCACCCCAGCAGGCTAGCTCACTACCCTGACCTCTCACCCCAGTGGGCTAGCTCACCACCCTGACCCCTCACCCCAGAGGGCCAGCTCACCACCCTGACCCAGGTTGGCCAGACTTCCCTGGCTGTCTACATCCTTGTTTGGAGGTGGCCCTCAGAGGACGCATACAAAAAAAGAGGGGCTGGACAACATGGGGAATCCATCAGTGGTCCAGCCTGGCCCTCCTTGTCTGCCCAGAGGCCACAACCAGAGCCCCAGCCTGGAGGCCGTGATGACAGCTGGGAACATTTACTTCGGGATGGAGGAGGAGAAGGCCGCCTGGGTAGGAGACAGGGATATTCTCCTGGAATTTTTCCCAAGCTTCCCTCAGCCCTGCAAAAGCATCAAAGCAAAAGAGACCCTTGGGATCCAAGACTAGAATTCAAGGAGCACAGGGGGAGGTCGCTATGGGACCTCTCAGATGAGCCAGAGAGGACCCAGGCAGCTGCCTTCTCTGGGGCTCCCTTATTCCAAAACAAGAAAATGCCGGAACAGAGTTCTAAACGTGTGGCCAATATGTTCGTAATTCCTTAATTATTCAGGAATAAATGAAGGCTTTTAACTTGCACAGAAGTGCAATGAGGCATAATTGTGCTCTTCACGTGGTGATTTAATTATGGGATTGACGCCGGGGCTAATCACAGTGACTGGCAGGTTCCGACAGCCGGGCTGGGACCCGGGTTTCATGCCCCGTGAGGACCTTCTCTCCTCCTCCCTCCATCCTGTTCCGCATCCCAGTCCATCGCACGTGTTCATGTTTGAAATTGAGGTTCTTGGAAAACAGGAGGCCAGGGTCCCCCTTAAGTTCCCCGGGACCACAAGAGGTCTGTGAGCTGCAGACTCTGGATGTGGAGTGTATGTTCTTGGGACGCGCAATACTGTTCATCAGGGAGGGCTCAGTGGCCAGCCACCCCTCGGCTCAGGGGGCTACCTGACCCCTGACCCCTGCTGCCACCCGCCATTTTCAGACCTATCGGCCCCTCTTTCCCGCCCGCTTCTGGCCCCATCACTGCTCCCCTGTGCCCCCCCCCTTATCATTTCCAGTCTTGGTATCACCCCGATTCTTCACCTTCTCCTTTCCCTTTCCAGCTCCTGTCACTTCCAACCCCCAGTTTTCTCTTCTCCTCCCAGACCCCGCCCCTCTGCCCTGGGTGGGCTGGAGGGTCTGAGAGAAGATTCCAGACGTAAGGAATGGGGGTGTCGCTCACTGGCGATGGAGATTCCTCCTCGATCCCAGAATGCCTTCCCTGTGACGTGTTGTCCTCTCCGTTGCTCTGTCCCTCTCTGTGCTTCTAAGCAGCTATTCAGCTCTGCCAAGTGGTCCTGATGCTCAGAGATGTGGGGGTGGGACGTGGGGCTGGAGGGATATGAGAGTCACGTGATGACAGCTGAGAACAGGACAGGTCTTAGTCATCACCACCGGCCGGGGTCAGGCTGGTCCTCGCAGACCGTGTGAACTTGGCCAACGCTTAGCTTCTCTGGATCTCCCCCCCCGGCCCCGCCCTTCCTAGATGGCGATAAACTTCGCCTGTGAATTTGACCCCACTTTGCAGATGAGGAATTTCACGATCCCAGAGCGCAGGCTGGCTTGCCTTCATTGTATAGATGGGACACCGGCTGAGAGGGGAGAAGTGATTCATGACTCTGACTCCATTCAGGGCCTTCGCTCAGGGGCGTTCTGGTCCCAGCCCCTGTTCGCCTCTGCCGGGAAGGCTCCTGGGCTAAGCTGCCCCCCTCCTCCCAGCCCCCATTCCTGGGCAGGCAGGGGTCCCCTTAAAAGAAGGCCTGGCCATCCTGGGCCCTCCTTCCAGGCTCCGAGTGTGGCTTCCGTGCCCCCCCCCCCCGAGCAATGACAGGCATAAGGCACCCATAATTGTTATCTCGGGGAAGGAGAAACTCCCTCTGAATTTCAGTCCATCTTCTGTAAAATGGGGAGAGGAAAAATTCCCCCCACCCCGCCCTGCTCAGCATACAGGGGCCGTGGGGGTGGAATTGGAATGGAGGATAAGTGTGCTGTAGATTGCGATGTACCCGCTCTGTCTGGGCCCTACCCTTGTCACTTGGGGTGACTCATCCATCCTCTCTGGTGCCCAGTGCAATGCCCTATGCCAGTGGTCGGCAAACTGCGGCTCGAGAGCCACATGCAGCTCTTTGGCCCCTTGAGTGTGGCCACGAAGTTTCAATCGCACTGTACGTGTACTCCCGCACATGGTATTTTGTGGAAGAGCCACACTCAAGGGGCCGCCGTTTGCCAACCACTGCCCTATGCACAGTAGGTGCTCAGGAAATGAGTGTTGAGCAGCTGGCGGCACTAACAGGGACCCATGTGCCCCTGGGAGCTGCCATCCTTCAGGACTGGAGTCTGTGGGGCCAGTCGGCCATGGTGAGTCTCAGCTCCAGGCACAAGGGCCCACAGAGCTGACCCCACCTGCCGGGACCTGCTGGCTGGTCCCAGGGTATCTCTTGTGGCTTCAGTTCAGGGGTCTTCAAGTCCAGGACACCTAGGGGGTGACACCTTGGGGGCTTCTGGCCTGCAGGCGGCCGTCCAGGTGTGAAGAGGAGCCACGGCTGCCCACCGGCTTTCCATTCAATTCTGCATTATTCTCCCCTCCTGCCCTTGCCTCTCCCTGGCACAGTGCCGTGGGCAACCCTCCAGGCACACTGGTCCTTTGCTACCCACCCACCCATCTGCAGGCTGGGTCAGTGCCTTTCTGACCTCCCTGCCCAGACCCTAGTTCAGGGGTCTGGGGCCCTACAAGACCCTAAGCTCTGTCCCCAGGGGCTGGTAAAGTCTAAGTGGCAGGTAGGATGGGTGGCATGGGAGGAACTTTGCCATGACCTCTGTATCTCTCCTCCATCTAGAAACCAGATGGTAAGTAAACTTGAAATAAGGTGTGGCCTGTGGAGGCCCAGTGAGTGGAAGCTTCTGAGAGGCAGGTTCCGGCCAAGCAAAAGGAAAAGCTTTCTAATGACTCGATTTTCCAAAGCACAGAGGCGTGTTGGGTAGTGAGCTGCCTGTCGTGGGAAGTGTTCAAGCATGGAGTCCTGTGCTGGGCAGGGGCTGACCCAGGTGACCTTCGAGAGTCCTTTCTGAGCAAGGCCTGTGCAGACACCCTACGGTCTCACTCTCCTGGGGCAGGCAGGGCCCTGCAAGTCAGGAGCACTGTTCCCCTGGCCTGCACGGCCTCACTCCCGCGAGGCTCAGGTGCGCGGATGGGGAGGGAGGAACATGGCTCTTCTGCTTCAGGCCTTCCTATCAGATCCCAAGGACCCTTAAGCAGAAATTTGTGTTGCAGTGTCAACACGTTCCTTTCTCCTTCCTACATTGCCTGGTCCCGCTGGGGGCACGCTCGGGGCACGCTCGGGGCACGCACACTCATTTCAGTGTCAGCCAGGACAGCATGCAGCAGAAGACAAATAAGCTGCTTCCTCGTCTCTCTGACCCTAGGGAGTTCCTTAACCGCTCAGATTTCTTCATCGGCCAAATGAGGACAATAACACTTACCTGGGAGGGTTGTTGTGAAGTGTGGGTGAGGTCATAGGTATCAAAAATTGAGCTTGTGCCTGGCACATAGAGTAAGTGCTTGAAAACACCACCCCAATAGACCCCACCCCCACATTACCCGTGAAACATGCTTTCCTTATGCCAAAGCGAGTGGGCATGGCTGAGGAGGACCAAAGCAAGTGGGCATGGCTGTGGATGTGCAACGCCCCGTCCTACCCTCTGTGCCTGCTCTCCTGAGATTCTCTGAGAACCGGCTCCATTCTCCTTGTGCCTCTTTACTGACCTGGTGCACCGGGCCTGCTCTGGGCAGGGGGGCAGGGGCGGGCAGCGTGAGTCAGGCAGGGAGCTGCTCTGGCCAACAAGGACGGACTTGAAGGGCCCCAGGAAGGTCTGAACCAGTGCTTTGGGGACAGAAGAAAGGACGCAGGCTCCGGCTCCTGTGGGCTGGGCTGTTACAGGGAAGAGTTACAGGAATGACAATGATGGCACTTAACACTTATTAAGCACCTACTGCGTGCCAAACACTTTAAATACATCAATTCCTGGACTCCCCCGACAGCCCCAGGAAGTAGCTCTTCGGGTTACATCCATGTGACTGAGGAGGAACACTGAGGTGGGATTTGAGGCCACACTTCATACAGAGTCCACACCCTGCTCCACAGCGAAGAGGGTGTTTGAAGTGGGTATTTAAGAATGCAAAAGGTGGCCCCTCCCACATCCCCTCTACCCCCTCTCCCGCAAAGATGGGTTAAGGGCACTGGGGGCAGAGGGTGGGAGAGGTCACAGACTCATCAGCATGACCCTGGAAATGATGATCAAGATCAGGAAATTACCCTGCCAGGCTCTCCCGGTGGTAATGACTGTAGTTCAGCGGTTCTCAACGTGAGTGGTGACCCCTTTGGGGGTCAAACGACCCTTTCACAGGGGTCGCCTAAGACCATCGGAAAACACATATATAATTGCATATTGTTTTTGTGATTAATCACTATGCTTTCATTATGTTCAATTTGTAACAATGAAAATGGGGGTCACCACAACATGAGGAACTGTATTAAAGGGTCGAGGCATTAGGAAGGTTGAGAACCACTGACTTAAACAAAGCTCAGCACATTGCTCTGCTCCACCCCCTTGTGGCCCTCCCCCACCATCCCCAGCCCAGCGGTTGGGGTGGCATTTGGGTGGCCTTGCTGTGGTCACACTCCTGAGCCCCGGACCTTTGCCCCTCTCCTTTCTCTGTCAGCGATGTGCCCAACGGTGCTGAGACCTTCACGGTCTCTGGGAGCTCCGGGGTACATATCTTCATTCTCTTCGACCCAACACGGGTGGCAGCGCCCCCAGACAAAGCCCACTGGCCCCTGGACACCACTGTGGACCTGACTGTATCCGTGGACACAGCCAGTAAGGCCTTAAATGATCTCAAGGTAAGAGGCCCTTCCCCACTGGAAGGGGCTGCACCTCCCCACCGGCACCCAAGGTAAGAGCCCCCAAAGCGTACCTCATTCACGTATCACCCCACTCAACCGAACCCCGTAAGGCTTCTGACACCTGCGTCCACATGACACATCCTGATACAACTCCGTAGACACCCCAAACACGCAAGCCCACCCCATGCCCAACGTGACACGTCCACATGAATGAATTCTCCCTGAAAACACAGCCTGCCTGCTCTCCCGTCAGGTTCACAAACATCCTGCATTAATCCTGTGCTCAACCTACACGCAGACGCCCTAACAAGTCCCCCACGTTGGTGTAGGCAGGACCTGTGCAGACGCAGGTGCATACCTAGATGTGCGGCGTCTCCCGCACCTAAAACATTGGGAAGTCTTCTCTGGCTCAGATGACAGCCTCCTCACTTGCCCCGGCCTCCCAGCACACAGTGACCTGATTGGGCAGGGACAACGCAGGGACTGCGCAGCCTTGGAGAGCAGAGGCCCTGGGGCCCGCCGTGGGCTCAGACCTTGCCTGATTGGCTGAGGTGCTATGCACCTGCCAACAGGGCCCTGAGCGGCCACATTACACATGGGCCCTGTCTACTGAGGCCATTCTGGGGGGCCGTGGAAGTGGCCTGGAGAGAGCACTTGGCATGGGTTCTGGATCCTGGGAAAAGCTCATCACCACTGGCTGTTATTAAGGGATGGAGGTCATTGTTCCCATTTTACAGGCGAAGAAACAGAGGCCTTGAGTAACTTGGCCTAAGTCAATGGCGATGGATGGTCCTCTTCTCATTCTTTCTCTCTGACATCCCCCATGAATTCCTGAGGGTCCACCTGCTCCCTTTAGAATCCGCCCCCACCCTGCCCAGCCCTGGAAGCTGGGGAGGCACCCACAGCCTCTCTAGCTGGAGGAGGCAGCTCGGGATCCAAGCCTGGAGCCCGTGAGACATGGGCCTGCAGCAGCAGGGAAGACCTGGGGACCCCAGGCCTGCCCTGCCTCTAAGCAGGGGTGTTGGGAGGTGTGGGTCACCCCCGAAACCCTGCTCACTGCCATCTCTGAAGGGGCAGCCGTGCTGGCTTAGGGCTGACCATGTCCCCACAGGTGAAGGTCTCCTACTTCGGGCAGAGCAAGGACCATGCCCTGGGCTGCAGTGAGCTCTACCTCACTGGCGTCGGTACGTACCGCCTCCCTGGCTCTCTGTATATCCCCACCCTCCTCTGTGGTGGCTGTGGAGGGTCTTGGGGGGCCCTGAGTGCAAGCCCATGGCCAGCTTCCTCCACCATTGAGGGGTGTGGGTCCCTAGAACACCAGAGATGGAGACCCAGCAATACTTAGGGCCACAGGAATCTAGAAACTGCACTGCCCCTGTGTCAACAGCTACCAGCCGTGGGCAAACTAGGGCCCGCGGGCCGGATCCGGCCCGTTTGAAATGAATAAAACTAAAAAAAAAAAAGACCGTATCCTTTTATGTAATGATGTTTACTTTGAATTTATATTAGTTCACACAAACATTCCATCCATGCTTTTGTTCCGGCCCTCGGTCCAGTTTAAGAACCCATTGTGGCCCTCGAGTCAAAAAGTTTGCCCACCCCTGATAGACCCACAACCAGCCCCTTCACCTGGAGTCCCAGCTGTTACCTCCACTGGAACCCCCAGACCAGCACTACACCCTGGACAGCCACGTGCCCCCCCAGCCTGAGCACCAGGGCAGCTGGCCCCGAGAGCTACGCAACCAGCACCCAGAGCCTCAGGCCAGGTCCCCAACCGTGGGAGTCAGGGCCTCCAACTCAGCAAGTGTAGATGAGCAAGAATCTCAAGACACGAAAATGTGGGTCCCTCCAACACCCAGCACCACACGGGGCTGCCGCAAGGGCACCCCAGAACAGGGCCTCCCACTGCTCAGGGGCCTGGGGAGGGGCAAAGCTTCCCCCCACCTGGATGTTATAGGCAGAAGCTGGGCCCGGTGAGCCCCTGGCAACTCCTCTCCATCCCTCTCTAGACATCTCCCTGGATGTTGACACAGCCCGCAAGGGCAAGGCAAAGAGGAGCCAAGACGACAAGGTGAGACTTTCCTGGCTACCCCAAGCCAGCAAGGTAGACAGGTAAACCTGGGGCTGGGCGTGGGGTGGGGTGGGGAGAGGGGGGCCCTCCCTCCAGAAGGGCCATGGACTCCGAGGGCCTGTGGTACCCAGCAGTGTAGGGGACCCAGCTGGGGACTGCCAGATTGCCAAGTGGGAGTCACTTACACTGTGTGATGGGCAGCAGCTTACCCTCTGGGTCTCTCTCATGCCACTTAGACTCGGGGCTGGTTCTCTTGCTTGGTAGGTTTTCTCTTTCGTAGGCTGCATTTGGAACCCCAAACGTGGCAGGTGCTTCATAAAGGTTGTTGACTGACTGATGAAGGCGAGGAGAAGCGAGGCTTCCAGTGGAGGAGGCTGGGTGGGCAGCCCAGTTACACCCTAAAGAGTGAGGGGGAGGCTGGGTGGGCACGGAGGCAGGGCTCCAGCCATCCTTCCCGCCTCGGCTCGGGCCTCCGTGCGGGGCCTGCGGGGCTGTGGGAGCACAGGCCCCAGAGGGTGCGGGGATGAGGAGGGCCTTCCAGGCCTCTCCAGTCCCATCGAGGTCAGAGCGAGGCAGCCTGTGCCCTGGCAGGGCCAACACCCTGCAGGCTGGCGAAGGGCCGGCTGGTGAAGGTCAGGCTGGTGAAGGGCAGGCTGGTGAAGGTCAGGCTGGTGAAGGTCAGGCTGGTGAAGGGCAGGCTGGTGAAGGGCCGGCTGGTGAAGGGCCGGCTGGTGAAGGTCAGGCTGGCGAAGGGCCGGCTGGTGAAGGGCAGGCTGGTGAAGGGCAGGCTGGCGAAGGGCCGGCTGGCGAAGGGCTGGCTGGCGAAGGCCGTGCTGAGTATGGTGACTGATGGCTGGGTGGGGCCGCTGTGTACGGTGGCTCAGGTCATTCACCCCACAGGGTGGAGTGGCTCTAGGTCTAGAGACCTGGATGGAGCTCAGTCCCCAAATCTATGAGCCCTCTGTAAATATTTTTTTAAAAAAACATTTTAAAATATATTTTTGTTGATTTCAGAGAGAGGAAGGGAGAGGTAGAGGGAGAGAGAGAGAGAGAGAGAGAGAGAGAGAGAGAAACCAATGATGAGAGAGAATCATTGATTGGCTGCCTCCTGCACACCCCCTACTGGGGATGGAGCCCACAACTTGGACATGTGCCCTGACCAGGAATCGAACTGTGACCTTCTGCTTCATAGGTCGAAGCTCAACCACTGAGCCACACCGGCCGGGCATGTAATTCTTTAAGCAAACACAGGATACAACGTTCTCCAAGCGAACAAAGCAGCCAGCGCTAGCCATGTCCAGAACCCCTTCCCAGAGCCCCCTGGGTCCCACTGACCCCAAGGTCTCTTGTTTCACCACAGAAAACCTGGCGCTGGGGCCCTGCGGGCTATGGGGCTATTCTGCTGGTGAACTGTGACCGGGATGGTCTCGGGTCCAGGGGGCTCGACCTTGAAGACAGCCAGCTGACATCACTGGAGGGTGAGCGACAGAAGGGACCTGTGGTGGTGTCCAGGGTGACGGTGTGGGGTGGTAAAGGGTCAGAGAGGATGGGACGGGAGCCGGTCAGCAGGGTAGAGGGAGGGTTGTCTCAAGGGTGCCACTCGCTTCAGACCTGAAGGACATGTCCCCCATGGTGCTGACCTGCGATGGCCCTGACAAGCTCTTCGACAACCACAAGCTGGTCCTGAATGTGCCATTTTCTGATTCCAAAAGAGTGGGCGTCTTCTGCGCTCGGGGTGAGTGGCCTGGTGTCCTGCCCTGTCCATCCTCCACTTCCCAAGCTCTTTCTTCTCTTGTCTACATCTCTCCCTTCCTTCCATCACCTTTCGTAACTCTCATTACAGCTTACAAACAGCCCCTCCATCCGGACACAACATGTCACCCAAGAAGGAGGCTCGATAACTAGTCCCATTATACAGAAGGATAAACTGAGACTCAGATGCTTGAATTTACTGTCTTAAGGTCACACAACCATTTGGGGGTGGAGCAAGCATTCAAACCCAGGTCTCTTGACTGCCCCCATGTCCTCTCCTCCTTCTCCCTCTGGTCACTCATCTCGGGATGATGCCCCGACAAGCACTGTCCAGTGGGGGTGAAGGGGGGCAGGAACCAGCAAAGCTGAGGCCCAGGCCTTCCCCGGGAGCTCTGCTCTACCAGAGATTTAATTCATCCAAGTCTGTGGCTTAAAAGATACCCATCCTTAACCCTGAGGTGCCCTTACTTGTTTTTATTAATAGCAAGAGGCCTCTCCTGCCCCTTCCTTCTTCCTCTTTACGCATTTCTGTTCGAACAGACCCAGAACTCGTTGTTCTGGCTAAATGAGCCTGGCAGGAACCTGTGAATGCATCAGTGGTGGCAGGTTAGGCAGGGGCCGGGCCTGGACACACTGTGACACCAGAGCAGGAGCAAGTCTTGGTGCGTGAACCGGCAGCCTTCCCAGTTGAGACCAGACCCTCCACGGACAGTTCCCGGGAGAGAAGGCGGCAGGCAGAACTACCACTTCTTTTTTCTCTCTCTCTCGATTTTACAACTCTTTTTTTTTTTTGAATCCTCACCCGAGGATATGTTTTTATTGATTTTTAGAGAGAGAGGAACATTGATGTGAGAGAGAAACATGGATCAGTTGCCTCCTGTATGTGCCCCCACTGGGGAACAAACCCGCAACCTAGGTATATGCCTAATTGGGAATTGAACCCGCAACCTTTTGGTGCATGGGATGATGCTCCAACCAACTGAGCACACAGCCAGGGTTACTACTCAATTTAAAAAAATCAAGGTGAAATTCAGAGAGCATAAACTGAGCCATTTTAAAGGGAACAATTCAGTGGAACTTCATACATTCTCAATGTTGTATAACCACCACCCCTCTCTCTAGTTTCAAGGCATTTTCATCCCCCCACCCCCCAAATAAAACCCTGTTCTCATTACTAGTCACTCCCCATTCCCCCCGACCCCCAGCTCCTGGCCAACACTAATCTGCTTTCTGTCTCTATGTATTTGCTTATTCTGGACAGTTCATATAAGTGGAATCATACACTGTGTGGTCTTTGTGTCTGGCTCCTTTCACTTAACACTTTCCAGGTTCATCCGTGTTGTAGCATCTATTAGTACTACATTCTTTTTTATGCATGAATAATATTCCATTGTGTGGACATATTACAATTCGTTTATCCATTCATCTGTTGATGGACATTTGGGTTGTCTTCACCTCTTGTGCCAGCTGGTTTGAAGCTTAAATTGACCTCATGAGAAATATAATGTTAGCCCATTTCGCAGATGAGGGACTAAGGCTCAGAGAGGTTGAGTCACTGAGCCGACGTCACACAGCTTGTGCCTGGCAGAGCTGGAGAGGAGCCCAAGTAGACCGAGCACAGAGGTGGCTCTGCCCCTGGTTTCCTCTCCGCCTGTCCTTCCAGCCCCACACCCCTGTCCCAGCCCTGGCCCCTGTGCTGACTCTGGTTCCCTTAGGTGGGAATTCCCTCTCACACTACAAGCAGGTGCTGGGGCCCCAGCATCTGTCCTACGAAGTCGAGCGGCAGCCCGGGGAGCAGAAGATCAACTTCTATGTGGAGGGGCTCACCTTCCCTAATGCTGATTTCTCAGGGCTGGTCTCTCTCAGCGTCAGCCTGGTGGACATGGGGGTACGTATGGCACTGGAGGCTGGGATAGGGGCTGAGGGACTTGGGAGACCAGTTTGGAGGCTCCAGAACCACTGAGTCCTTGTTTCCCCCTAGACCCTGCCCGAGGTGCCCATCTTCACAGACACTGTGGCCTTCCGCATGGCCCCCTGGATCATGACCCCCAACACCCAGCCCCCCCTGGAGCTGTATGTGTGCAGGTGAGGCCTCACCCGCCCCGCCCCCCCCCCCTGCAGCTCTCCTGCCACCTCTGGAATCGTGGAGCTAGGAACAGAAGCTGTTCTGTGGGGGGCCCCTCACTCGGACCCGATGGATTCCGTGACGAGGTGGTTGGGAAATCAGACAGCAGAACAGCAGCGGGCGGGGTCGTGCGCCATCATGGTCTTAGGGGGCCCCAACAGGTAAAGACCCTTGCCCCGACTCACTGCTCCTTGCCCTTGCGTTGATCTGTGATCACTACAGAAGCTCTCACCACTACAGAGCCTTTTGGGGTTCAGTCCAGGCAGGGAGGGGGGACCTCTTTGGCCGGGGGGGCAGGATTGTTAAAAACGCAATTTAGCTCCTGGGGCGGGGCCCCTGGAAAAAATTTTTTTATATTTTGCACCCAGAGAAGAAGAAGGGAGTAAAGTTTTTGGGATTGTATTTTG